GGCGCATGGCGCATGCGCACCGCAAGTATGGAAGGAACCCGTAAGCAGCAGTTTTTCTTTCTTTTTTTAAGCCACAGTTTTTACCCACCCAGTACAGAAAGACTTTCAAGTTCCAACAACATACAGAATCCAACAGACACACATTCAGAGACACACATTCAGAAAAAGGTGACATGATGGTGAATTAGCAAATGTTGACCACCCTCCTCCCCCTTTTTCTCACGGGTTGACCACCCTCCTCCCCCTTTTTCTCACGGGTTGACCACCCTCCTCCCCTTTTTTCTCACGGGTTGACCACCCTCCTCCCCCTTTTTCTCACGGGTGGAATGCCAATAAGGTTTTTTTTTAGGACAAAGGTTTTTTTTTATGACACGATTCTCCTGGTGGAATGCCAATAACTAAAATGAATGCAAGGAAAATGGGGGCGCGAGCAATAGACAGAAAAGTTGAGAAAACCAAATTGCAACATCGCATTGACGACCAGATAGTCGTGTCCCGAGCAGAAAGCAGATTGCACCGAGATACAAGCCAAGGAAGAGCAATGCAATGAATTCAAATGCCAATGAAGCCCCATCTCGCCACACACTATCAACAATGTATCCAATGTCACTCTTCTGGATTGACGCTCAGCGCCCAGCCTGCCACTACTCAGAAGCTATACTAGCCTACAACTAAATAAAAAAGCAACCAGGAAATAATTCCAGTCGAAGACCAATATACATGAAGGAGTCGCCAATGCAGACAACCGCAAACAAATCACGTATGTGTCCCTTCTCCTCTCTCCCTCTCATCACCTTCTCTCCCCTCCACAGTGTGCATCTCCAACCCGAAGACCACCATCACCATCATCGGCTCCCACGAGGCCTGCCTGGCTATGGCTGCCTCGGGCCCGCTGCCTGCTTGCAGCGCTCACCTCCTCTGTAAGTGTCCGTCTGCGCCTCAGCTTCGGCCCAGCGGCCAGCCAGCCCTCAGCCCAGCAGCATGGCTGCAAGGAAGTGTGGGGCCAGAATGCCTCGCTGGGCGCAGGGCACTGTCCTGTATGGAAGTGCTGCCCTGCTTCAAGCAGCCTGGGCCTGGAGGCCGAGTTCCCAGTAGCCTGGCGTCGGGACAAAGTGTCTGCGCCCAGGCCCATTCAGATAGCGGCCTGGGCCCAGAACAGTTAGGCTCGCCCAAGAGTGCGACGTGGCTCATGTCAGTCACTGCGTCCTGATCGGCCGAAAGGCCTGATTCCACGTCGCTGCCTGGAAGGCCCTGGAGGACTCACGATGTCGCAGTCACACAGCCTGCATGGGCCCTGTAACTGTCTGGCGCCCCCAAGTGCAGAGTAGTGACGGTGGGTGCCCCTGGATTGGTCGGGGGCCGACCAGCCGACCGTCGGACTGGTCGGCACCTACCGGTCGGGTGTCGGTCGGCACCCTGCCAATTTTTTATTTTTTTATTTTTTGGGTCCAGAACCCCAAATAACCCCATCAACACCCCCATAGCCCCCCCAAACACCCCCATAC